TGCCAATCCCTCCACTGGCTTCCGATTGCGCAACGGATCAAATTTAAAATCCTAACACTGACGTACAAAGCTGTGTCCACCATACTGCCCCGAACTACATCACTGACCTAATATCCAAGTACTGCCCAGCAGTAGTCGAGTCGTGATATGATGAGGGAGTGGATGAGCTGTTTAGTGGTTTCTGGGGTTAGGAACGTGCGTATTTTGGCGATGTTGCGGAGGTGGAGTCTGCACGAGTTTGTTAAAGATTGGGACTTGGGGCTGGAAGGATAGGTTGGAGTCCAGAATGACACCAAGTACTCTGGCCTGCAGGGCGGGTTTGATATTGGCGTTGTTGGATGTGATGGAGAAGTCAATGGGGGGTGGGGTCCGGGCTGGGGGGAAGACACTCCGCTCCTCACAAGACCTCCTTCTCTCTAGTTCCCTGGTCTCCTCCTCCCATGCCCGCCTCCAGGACTTCTCCAGGGTGTCACCCATCCTCTGGAACTCCCTTCCCCAATCCATCAGATTATCACCTACTCTCCTCTCCTTTAGGCGCACCCTGAAAACCCATCTCTTCAGGGAAGCCTACCCCCTGCTAACTTGACCGACCTCCTCCACTCTTTCCTACCACTCCATCCCCCACAGCTATCTCCTCCTGTACCACTATCCTGTCCCTTCTAGATTGTAAGCTCGAAAGAGCAGGGCCCTCGATCCCCTCCTGTTTTGCATTGTATTGGTATTGTTCTGTCACATGTTCTGTCTCCATTTGTAATGTACAGCGCTGAGTGAACTATCGGCGCTTTATAAATACTGTATAATAATAATAATAATAATGTCAAGTGAAAGACTGAGTTATAGTTTTACGACCGGCCAGATGAAAAGGTGTATCAGACATCCTGGAACCAGACTTAATTGGGGTTACAACCATGAAGCTATACAGCTGTGCCTTATGCACTTGTGACCCCAGCACACACACAGACCACATTCCTTGCAAGGGGAGGGGGACTGGAGGGGGAGAGAGAATGATATTTGCAGAGTCTGATACAAAATATGGTTGTCATTGTCCATATCTGTACGTACAATTATCACAAGTAGAACCACCTCCTTTGCCGATAACAGTTAAGGAGGAGGCAGAAAATGATGTTGAAGCAATTCTGGACTGCAGAAGACGGGGAAGACAAATCCAGTACTTGGTCAGATGGAAGAGGTACCCACCTGAAGAAAGCTCCTGGGAACCAAAAGGCAATGTACATGCCCCCAGGCTTCTTGGGAATTCAGTTCCAAGTATCCTGAAAAGGTGGCCCAGGTGGGCATCCGGAGGCTGCCCTTTAGGGGGGGCACTGTCAGGGTCCTATCCATGGCAGAAGTCCTGGAAGACCAGGTATTTCCGCCAGTACCCTACATGGCAGCAGAAATACACACCTCAGGCCCAGTCAAACGGCCTTTATAATGAGACTCTTCACTCCCTCAAGTTGCTGGATGAGCTCTAGCTCCTCATACCTTGTTCCTGGGTTTCCTATGTTATTGCGACCTATGAATTCCTGATACCGACTCCGCTTGCTCTTGCTTACTCTGCTTACCCCTGATCTGACCTCGGCTTGGCTAATGGATACTCTCTCTCTCGCTCCTCTGTGTATGACCTTGGCTATCCCATCTGACTACGTTTGCTCTGATTCCCACCTGGTACCTGATCTTGGCTTGAATCAGCTATCCAGTAATCATCTATTCCCAGAAGGGCTTGCATACCTCGCACAGGAGCCATCTGTCTGCAGACCTCATCTCCGTGCATCTGCTGTGCTCCTGGGTGGACCACCAACAAGCACTCCTACAGGCGACCTGTCCCACTTTGCGCCTGACTCCCGCTGTCCCACTCTCAGGGGAGTCTGGAATTTAGCCGCAAGGGAAGACCTCTCTCCATTGGCCTCCATCACCAGTTACCTGATACCATAACATTTCTTGAAGTGCTAAAACACCAGGACAGCACAAACACTGCCAAATGACCCCTTTTTGGAAAGTAGACACCCTAAACTATCTGCTGAGAGGAATATTGAGTCCATGGAAGATTTATTTTTTTTTCCACAAGTTTTTGGAAAATGACAAAAACATTTTTTTTTTACACAAAGTTGTCATTTAACAACCTCCCACTCACCAATGATGGGCGCAAGGTGGTTCTCTCTTTCTGGGACGATGTCATATGATGTTGTCACATTCTAACCGCGCATGAATGGCTCCGGAAGCGCGCAGCACGGCGATCGCTGGTGTGTTCATCGGATCAGCGATGAACGGAAAGAGCCAAAGATGTCGGCTAGGTCATGTGATCAGCTGTGTCCAATCACAGCTGATCACATGTAAATAGAGAAATGCCAGTAATCGGCATTTCTCTCCTCACAAACTGTCACGCTGACAGCTCGAGAGGAGAGGAGAGCCGGTAATCGACATCCCTCAGAGGGGACATGTGCACTGATCATCAGGGCACTGATGATCAGTGTGCCCTGATGATTTGTGTAGCCCCAGCAGTGCCACCTATCAGTGTCCATCAGTGCCAGCTGTCAGTGCTCATCCATGCCACATGCCAGTGCCCATCAGTGCCACATCAATGCCACATATCAGCGCCTACCTGTGCACATCAATGCCACATATCTGTGCCCATCTGAGCTGCCTTTCAGTGCCACCTGTCAATGCCAGTCAGTGCCACCTATCAATGCCAGTCAGTGCCGACTATCAGTGCCAATCAGTGCCGCCTATCAGTATGCATCAGTGCTGCCTATCAGTGCCCATCGGTGATGCCTATCAGTGCCGCCTAACAGTGCCAGTCAGTGACACCTAACAGTGCCAGTCAGTGCCACCTATCAGTGCCATATATGAGTGCTGCCTTTCAGTGCCCATCAGTGATGCCTGTCAATGCCCATCAGTGCCACCTACCAGTGCCTCCTCATCAGTGCCACCTATCAGTGTCCATCAGTGCAGCCTATCAGTGCCCATCACTGCAGCCTCATTAGCGCACATCAGTGAAGGAGAAAAATCACTTATTTACAAAATTTTTATAACAAAAACTAAGAAAAAAAAAGGTTTCTGTTCAAACCTTTCCGTGGTTTTTGGTTTGTTTAAAAAAAAATAAAGAACCCAGAGGTGATTAAATACCACCAAAATAAAGCTCTATCTGTCTCAAAAAAATGATAAAAATTTCATATAGGTACAGTGTTGCGTGCGTGACCGCGCAATTGTCATTCAAAGTGTGACAGCTGTGACAGTCTGAAAGCTGGAAATTGGCCTGGGCAGGAGGGGGTATAAGTGCCCTGTAGGCTAGTGGTTAAATTATATATTTCTCACACAAGCCATGGGTATATGTGGAATTACACCCCAAAATACATTCTGCTACTTTTACCGAGTATAGGGATACTGTGTGAGACTTTTTGGGAGCCTAGCCACATACAGCCACATACAGGAGCCTGAAATCCAATGACCACTTGAAAGCCTGAAGGTGCGTAACTTCCTCATTTCACTTCCTCACTATCTATCACAGTTTTGGAGGCCCTGAAATGCCAGGATAGCACAAACCCCCCCACCCCCCCTCTCCCAAATGACCCCTTTTTGGAAAGTAGACACCCCAAAGAAGTTTAAAAGAGGCATGGTGAGTATTTTGCAGATCTTATTTTTTCTCACAAGGTTTTGAAATATAAAAAAAGAAAAGAAAAAAATATGTTTTTGTTTTCTTTCTTCATCTTCCAAAAAATTATGGCAACAAACAAATAAATTCTTCTATTGACTCAACATGCTTCTCAGAAAATAGTTTGAGGTATCTACTTTCCAAAAAGGGGTCATTTTGGGGGGTGGGGGCATTTTATGCCCAGCATTAGAAGTTTATGCCACACATCATTCACTCTTCTAACCACATGAAGACAAAGCCTTTTCTGACACCTTTTGTTCACCTGAAAAAAATCAGTATTTTTTGCTAGGAAATTACTTTGAACCCCCAAACATTAAATATATATATTTTAAAGCAGACTCCCTAGTGAATAAAATGGTGGATGCTGCAATTTTTTATGTCACATAGTCCTCGTGCAGCAATTTTTCAAACGCAAATTTTTTGAAAAAAATACACTTTTTTTTACTTTTAATTCACAAATCAAAATATATTGACCAATTATTTGGTAAATTATAAAATATGATGGTATGCCAAGTAAATAGATATAAAAAAATGACATTCTTTAAAACTGTGCATGCCCCGTGCAATGGCGACAAACTGCATACATTTTTTATATCCATAGGCAACACCTTTCTTTGCTTTTTTTTTTTTAAAGTTATTTTGATTTTTTAAATTATTTTTACACTGTCCCTTTCATTTTTTTTTCTTGGATCACTTTTAATGCAATTATCTCCGATAACTTCAATGGGCACTATCATATATTCTTTTTTGAGAAATCTGGGGTCTATCAAACTCTAGATATCTCCTCTGCCCTTACATTATCTAATCTCACCAAGATCGGTGTGATCAGATGCTTTTCCATCTTACAAATGGTGCTGTTTATATCCTGCGAAACTGAAGTGATGAAATGCTCGTAGCTTCTGATTTCTTAGACTATAGAGATGATTGGCGCCAATCTGCCGCTCTGCCTCAGGGCCCGGCGCCCGCCTCCCCGCCTGGGGGCCCGCCGCCCCGCCTGGGGGCCCGATGCCTGTCGCCCCGCCTGGTGGCCTGGTGCCTGCTGCTCCGCCTGGTGATCCGGTGTCCAGCTCGATGTGCCTCTGCCCGGAGTCCAGCTCGATGTGCCTCTGCCCGGAGCCCAGCTCGATGTGCCGCTGCTGCCGGAGTCCAGCCCGATGTGCCGCTGCCCGGAGTCCAGCCCGATGTGCCGCTGCCCGGAGTCCAGCCCAATGTGCCGCTGCCCAGAGTCCTGCCCGATGTGCCAGTCTTTGATATCCCGCCAGTTACCAGACCCGGGCGGTGGAACATTTTGCCCAGCTAGGACTGTTTGGAGCGTCCTGAGGCCGCTCCTTGAGGGGGGGGGGGGGGGGGTACTGTCAGGAATGGACTTGCCAGTAATGGTGGGACTCACCTGCCTTGTGGGCTTCAGTACCAGGGCTGGCCAGCGGGTGCTCTCAGCAATCAGAGACTCAACCCTGCAGCCAGCCAAACACCTGAAGCTGATTATGCAGGTGTATGTAAGGGATGGCCACACCAAGGTGTGTGTTTTTTCCTGGGCCCCTGTATCTTGTTACCTGCATCCCTGTTCCTGTTCCTGTGCCTGTTCCTGTCCCTGTCCCTGTCTGATTCGTTGCCGACCCTGCCTGATCCGGACCTCTGCTGACTTCTCCTGTTTGATCCCTGGCTTGTGACCCCGACCATTCTCTGCCTGACCCCCTGTACCTACCTGCCCGTTAGTTGCTGTACCCGGCTCATGACCTGACTACTCTCTGCCTGCTCCTCCTGTTCCTACCTGCCCGATTGTTATTGACCCGGCCTGCCTGACGACGCTTGCATTGTATGTATTGTTATCTGTGGGTGGTTTGGGTGTGGGTGGTTTGTGGGTGGTTTGGTGTTATGTTTTAGTATTGCACTGCGTTTATGTTTGTATTGTTAGTCTTTAATAAATTGTCTTATTGTTTATAACATATCTGAAGCCTGCGTCAGTTCACATACCTCTGGTCATACCCGGGAGCCCTGACAGAATTCTTGGTGGTTGCGGAACAATACTTGTGTTCACCACCGCACCACTTATGGGACTCTCCACATCACCAAGTGCTACTGCACTGCTGGTATGTGAAAGACCAGTATGTACTAGGCCGCTGGTGCTCACCAGTTCACCAAAAGGAATAGCGGCACTAGTACTGGCACTCTTGAGAGTCATCAAAATTTACATGCAAGTGCTAGCAGAGATCAGGCCTGATCATTGCTAGTGACAGTGACCTACTGACACTGCACTTGCTGGGGGAGAAGGGGGGGTAAGCTAATGCTGTGTTTTTGGGGACACTATACTAATGTGAACGCTGGTATAGTGCTGATCTGATCAAAGATATTAATCTGTTCAGACACTACACTAGCAATGGAGGTTTATTTGTGTATGAGCGTGTTCCTGGCAATCAAGGGGTTAAATGTAATTACTGGTGTACTGAAGGGTAATCTGACGCTATCTGTAAGGGGCGTGAAAACCACGGGAGTGCAAATCATATATATATTTATGTGATTTTGTGCACTCATGCCGCCCTGTAGCAGTATTTCTGCTATAGGGCGGTCAGGAAGCAGTTAAAGAAGCGGTTTGCATTATGGGGTTGCATTTGCATTGCATGGTCAAACTGTACTAATAGCACTGGGCAGGAATGAGGGGCAATCAAAGGGTTAACTATGTGATGGGAGTGTTTTACTAGGGGGCGGGGGGGTGTGTGCTTCTTCACTGTAAGCACACTGCTCTGGATGGCTCTGCTCAGTGTGCCCAAATTGACAGGGAGCAGGGCTATTGGTAAACAACGCAGCCCTTCTCCCTGTCAGTGATCGGCTGTAATCACCGGGCACTGGCAGATAATCACTGGCCGGGACCGGAGATTGACACCCGGGGCCACGATTGGCGGCGTGGCTCGCGCTGCCCCCCTACCTGGAAATGCTGAATGACGTATATATACTGTACGTGATCCTGTGCACAGGTGTTGCCCTGTAGCAGTATATCTGCTATAGGGCGGTCGTTTACTGGTTAATATTAGGCTATTGAAGGAGAAAAAATCATATTCTTGCTACAATTGATGCTAATAGCCTATATACTAGTATTAGACAAGAGGACGGCAGAGAGGCAGTAAAATGGGAGTTAGTTTAATCTCAAATGCCTGGAATAGGCAATAAGGAACAACTACTTTTGGTATAACAAAAAATACTACACACAAAAGAAAGGCGTTGCAATGGGGGATAAGTATGCCCTCAGTGTAGCCCACCTGCTAATGGCCAAATGGAATCTAAGGACATCTTTAAAAATAGAAGAGAAAAACTCTGGAAGGGTGATGAAACAACCTTTAAAGGTTTCCTGGATAATATTAATAGTCTATGGTCTGAGTTGGAGTTGTGAGAAAATAAATTATTTAGATTTAACAATATTTGTAGATGAGAACAGACTCTATACAAAAAAATGCATGTGAAAGAAACAGGAGTGGGTGAGTGAGTGGGTGAGAAACATTCCAAAAGGGTAATTAATAAGAATGAAAAAGAACTGTAATTTTGAGAAAGATTTTGATAAGCAGAGTAATGATTTAATAGAAAAATTCATTAAAAAAAGGATATAAAAAGAGCCATTGATGCATACAAAAGAGATAAGTAAGATGGATAAAGACCAAATAGTGGAAGGAAAAAAGAGAATCTAGTACATACCGTATTTTTCGCTCCATAAGACGCACTTTTTCCCCCCCAAAAAAGGGGGGGAAATGTCAGTACGTCTTTTGAAGCGAATGTAAAGCGGCCGCCACCATGTCAGAATATCGGGCCGGCCGCTCAGCTCTTCTCTCCTGCAGGACCTTACCTGTTCCTTGCTCCAGCGCTGCAGTCTTCTCGTGCCTTCTGGGGCACATGACAGGTCCCAGAAGGCTCCGGGCCATTCACAAAGCGCAGCACTTCTCGCGCATGCGCAGTAGGCACCCAGCTGTCACAGAAGCCGCCGTGGGAAGAAGAAGGAAGGACAACTCCGCGGAAGTGGGAGCGGGTACCTGTCAAATTCAGGTACCCGTTCCCCCTCCCTCCCCAAAGGTCCGCCGTGTCTGGTAATCTCCTTTACTGTCTGCAGTCTCTGGTCATTCCCTGTACTATGTCCGCAGTCTCTGGTCATTCCCTGTACTATGTCCACAGTCTCTGGTCATCCCCTGTACTATATCCGCAGTCTCTGGTCATCTCCTGTACTGTGTCCGCAGTCTCTGGTCATCTCCTGTACTGTGTCCACAGTCTCTGGTCATCTTCTGTACTATGTCCGCAAAAAAATTTGAGAAAGAACCACTGATGCTGAAAGCCGTATAAGTGTAAAATAATATGCAATAAGTAGTTCTGCAAGAACTGGTGTCATATATACTTACTAAACCTGATGTACCTGTTTATGTAATGGGTGATTTTAATGGCATTCTAAATTCAGGGCTGGAAAGACATCCCCCATCCCAAGTTTCTCCCACCAGGGATACAGCTCTTCCAGACAGAAATGGGATGGTTCGACATTTGGAGACTGAAACACCCAGATACTCTTCAATTTTCTTGTTTATCCAAAACATACACATCTCTCTCCTGCATAAATCTTTGTGTGGGACATCGTCTACCATCCTATATGTAAAGAAGATCTGACCATTCTCCACGTGTGCTATAGCTCATGGTTCAGTCTCACCATGACCTTTCAATACCCCATGGCAGCTAAATGCATTCTGGCTTAAGCTGCTCCAATCTGGTAATAATATTGAACAACATATTGAAAATGTATTTTCTGGCAATGCCCACTATGACAATGAACTTGTCAGATGGAATGCCTTTAAATGCTTTTGAGGGGAATCTTTATTTCATCTATTAATGCAATTAAAACTGACACCAAGGCCCATGAGGTACAGCTAACCCAGCATGTCAGGAAGTTGGAACATGCTTGCAACAGTGCTCTGTTGCTTTCAAATGTCTCTTGGCTGTCCGCTCCGATGCCTTGACTAAACTTCTCAACTCCAAAGCTGAACTCCAAAAAAAAAAAAACTATTTTTTTCTAAAGTTACATTCTATGAAGAGGGAGAGAAGACCAGCTGTCTCCTAGCCAAAATTGTAATTGTTAGACCCACTGCCCCTGCTACAGGGACACTGAGACTGTAGGATGGCCATTTGGTCAAGACATCTGATTCTATTATGTCTGAATTGGTTCTATTCTATTCAGACCTATATGCCTCCAAAGCATATTATACACAACAGGAGCTTCTAAATTACTTACACTCTGTTCCAATTATTAGGCTCTCAGTGTGCACGTTTAGATGCTCCGTTTACCCTAAAGGAACCATAAATGTTCCCAACCAACAAAGTCCCTGGAGACAATGGGTTACCAGTAGAAGTGTATCAAATATACACTATATTGCCAAACGTATTCGGACACCCCTCCAAATCATTGGATTAAGGTGTTCCAATCACCTCCATGTCCACAGGTGTATAAATTCAAGCGCCTAGGCATGCAGACTGCTTGTACAAACATTTGTGAAAGAATGGGTCGCACTCAGGAGCTCAGTGAATTCAAGCATGGTACCGTGATAGGTTGCCACCTGTGCAATAAGTCCATCCATGAAATGTCTTTGCTACTAAATATTCTACTCTCAACCGTTAGTGGTATTATAACAAAGTGGAAGCAACTGGGAACAACAGCCACAAAGTGGTAGTTCATGTAAAACTACAGAGCAGGGTCAACGCATGCAGAGAGCTCACAGTGCACAGAAGTCGCCAACTGTCTCCAGAGTCAATAGCTAATGACTTCCAAACTTCATGTGGCCTTCAGATTAGCACAACAACAGTGTGTAGAGAGCTTCATGGTATGGGTTTCCATGGCCCAAGCAGCTGCACGTCCGATGGACGTGTCTGGGTTTGGGCAGTTACCAGGAGAACGGTACTTGCCTGACTGCATTGTGCCAAGTGTAAAGTTTGGTGGAGAGGGTTATTTTTCAGGGGTTTTTCAGGGGTCAGGCTTGGCCCCTTAGTTCCCTTAAGGTGTCAGCACACTAAGACATTTTGGAGCATTTCATGCTCCCAGCTTTGAGGGAACAGTTTGGGAATGGCTCCTTCCTGTTCCAACATGACTGCGTACCAGTGCACAAAGCAAGATTAATAAAGACATGGATGAGCGAGTTTAGGGTGGAGGAACTTGAATGGCCTGCATGGGACCCCGAACAATAGGAGATCATGGGCCCCCTGTGTCCCCACCTAAATATTGTGCTGTCTGCATTACATGCGTTTGTCACAGAATTTATCTACGCTGTATTCAAAAGAAATGTTTATTATAGAAAATAAAGAAAAAAAAACTGACATTAAAGAAAGTGCAACAATGGATCACTTCCAATGAAGGTTTTAATAAATGAAAACAGGTGCAACAAATGTCTTCTTAGCTGAAGATTTGAATAAAAAATAAAAAGCTCTGACCAGCATGTTACAAAAGCAGTAAATAGCTAAGTTCAGGTGATGTCAAACTATCATTCATCTATCAATGATTTTATCTTTGTCACTCTTTATGTTTAGTGCAACTTGCAATGCAATCTGCAACCTGCAATGAGCAACAATGCCTCCAGGTTTTGTTGTGATAGTGATAATCGTATTCTTGACTTTAAGATTTTTAACTTGGAAAGCATCTTTGTGTACATTGTGTAGTGCTCAGTTTAATTATATGTTTATATGCCAAGCAGAGATTCTCAAAGGCCATTGAACACAGTACTGATAGAGTAGTTTGAAAGCACAGGACACACAGTTCTTGCAGGAGTCCTTCTTTACAGCAGCTATAGAAATGCATGGCTCATCACTAGAGCTGGTGAGTTACTCTTCCAAAACTGAATCCCAATTCTTCACTCTATCCATCATCACTTTACCGATAATTTTGTAGCTGGAGGCAAAAGAGATTATTTCCTCAACTAGAGCAACTGGGTCTATTTCTGGTATTGCTCCTGATATAACATTCAACTGAATTTCGTCTGAAGAGGCCAGTATTTCTTCAAATCTATTTGGATTGTAGCAAGAAAATTTGCTTAGAAAGGTCTCCATGAGTGGAAAATCTTGACTTCACACTCTCTGTAACAGTGGCAAGGATTGTAACAAGAGATTTCAAAATGTTTCTTATTATCGGTACTTTTTGCAGATCTTGTGGATCTTAGTTCAGAAAATCAAACAAATGTTTTCACTTGCCAACTTCTCATTTCTAAAATCAATAAATTTAGCTGTTGACTACAAAACTCTAGCAAAGTCTCTGCATTTTTTATTCAAACGCTTTACAGTATCATCCACCATTCTCCATGCCTGGATAAAATGTTGATTGCAGATAATCTGATACAGGGGCAGTGATGTAAAAAATGCGGACAAAGGTAAAGGCTACCAGGATGGTTTCAAATTTACAGAGATTCTCAATTAATTTCAGATCTTCATGACGAACAGAGATTTGAAAACCTCTTACTAGTTTCAAGATAATTATGAAATCATTGCATAACTCTTTGGAATGATTGCCAAACCTTCCAAATAACTTTCGTAGTGCTTTAGCTCCGCTTGAACCACCTTGTTCTGCCAATATGTTCCAGCTTTTTAAATTTAGAACTGCCAGTCTTTTTTTTTTCATCTGGTCTTCCCAGAGTCTCATCCTTTTGTATGAATCTGTGAAAAATGTTGATAGGTTGCTAAGGAACCCAAATAGACTGATTGCAGGAACACTTGCATAGCCAATAACCAAGTTGAGTACTTGTGCATAACACCATGTGTGAATGTGTGTAGGGCAAACTTCCTTCATTAATGCTTGCAAGTCTGAGTAAGTTTGACTAATATTAGCTGCTCCGTCAAAACATTCTATTGAGAGTACATCACACTCTGCTTAAGTTACACTCCATGGGCATACGCCCAGATCCCCTGTGTACTCAATGTAACAGAGACACAGATCAGACGAATTGAGATTGTGATAAGCGATCATTCTTTTATGTTTTCAAGTGAGTATTCATTCATTCGAATAAGCAATAAATATGTTATATGGCATCATGCTACAGTATGTGTGTTGCTTTGTTTCCTTACTTTGAGCTTTTAAAGATTTAAAGTACCACTGTGGGGAAGGAAGATTTTGAATGGCTCCACTTCAATGTATGATTGAATAAAAGTGCTGTAATATGACAGGCATTTGCTTGCAGTGAGTGGTGTATCCTGAGGGGATGTGGTTCACTGAGCACAAAGGGTGATTGATCTGCTACTCTGATTAAAGGTAGAGGATTTGACCACTGGTGTATTTTGGTTTTGTGCTGCCCTAGGCACTCCCCCCCGCATCTAAATTTGCCCCACCCTTTCATATGCAAACTCCACCCCTTCCTTTTTAGGCTCCACCTCTTCCTATTTGAGCTCCGCCGACTGACAACGATGGGGCGCTATTCCTCCCACTGACATCAATGATGGGGCACGATTCCTCCCCCTGACACCGATGATGGGGCACGATTCCTCCCACTGACACTAATGATGGGGCACTTCCTCCCACTGATACCAATGATGGGGCACTATTCCTCCCCCTGACACCAAAGATAGGGCACTATTCCTCCCCTTGCCACCAATGATGGTGCCCATCATTAGTGTCAGTGTGTGAGTAATAGTAATTAATAATAATAATTAATAATAATCATTGGTATCAGTGGGAGGAATAGTATTCCATCATTAGTGTCAGTGGGAAGAATCGTGCCCCATCATTGGTGTCAGTGTGAGGAATCGTGCCCCATCATTGGTGTCAGTGGGAGGAATCGTGCCCCATCATTGGTGTCAGTGGGAGGAATAGTGCCCCATCATTGGTGTCAGTGGGAGGAATTGTGCCCCATCATTGGTGTCAGGGGGAGGAATAGTGCCCCATCATTTTTGTATCAGTGGGAGGAAGTGCCCCATCATTAGTGTCAGTGGAAGGAATCGTGCCCCATCATTGGTGTCAGTGGGAGGAATCATGCCCCATCATTGGTGTGAGGGAGAGGAATAGTGCCCCATCATTGATGTCAGGGGGAGGAATAGTGCCCCATCATTGATGTCAGGGGGAGGAATACTGCCCCATTATTGGTGTCAGGGGGAGGAAGTGCCCCATCATTAGTGTCAGTAGGAGGAATCGTGCCCCAACTTTGGTGTCAGTGGGAGGAAGTGCCCCATCATTGGTGTCAGTGGGAGGAATAGTGCCCCATCATTGGTGTCAGTGGGAGGAATAGTGCCACATCATTGGTGTCAGTGGCAGGAAAAGTGCCCCCTCATTGGTGTCAGTGACACCAATGAGGGGGCACTATTCCTCCCACACTGACACTAATGATGGGGCGCTATTACTCCCACTGACACCAACTATACTTACATCGCTGTGCTGACTCCTGCTCCAGCCCGGGCTCTCTCCTTCAGGCACAGACACTTACCCATCAGCTGTCTTCCTTCACCAACCGCTCTACTCTTCACCGGCTTCAGCTGCTCCCTCACTCGATCTTCAATCTTCGAGCTGCCGCTCGGCTCCTCCTCTCCAAGCTCTGCCTCCTCGCCTGTGATAAAGCGCTGCGTAAATTGACGGCGCTATATAAGTTCCTTAAATAAATAAAATGGATAGTGCAGTAATCACAGAGCTAGTGAAAATTAAAGTCTTGGCCCCGGTCCTGGCAGTCTTAACATTTATATTAGTCCAGCTGGCAGTTTTTATTAAGCTATGTTGTCAGGGCACCAGACCACTTTTGGGTCTTGACCCATTACTTGAAAAACATGGGTCTAAATACACTATGATTTCTTTTTCCATAATCAATTTTTATTATTGAAAATAAGACTTACATCCGTAAGATCGTCATTACAGCCGATATCATAAATTGACGGCGCTATATAAGTTCCTTAAATAAATAAAATGGATAGTGCAGTAATCACAGAACTAGTGAAAATTAAAGTCTTGGCCCCGGTCCTGGCAGTCTTAACATTTATATTAGTCCAGCTGGCAGTTTTTATTAAGCTATGTTGTCAGGGCACCAGACCACTTTTGGGTCTTGACCCATTACTTGAAAAACATGGGTCTAAATACACTATGATTTCTTTTTCCATAATCAATTTTTTATTATTGAAAAATAAGACTTACATCCGTAAGATCGTCATTACAGCCGATATCATAATCATCAACAATAGAAAAACACACAATAAAGGATATTTGCAGCAAGAACCAACCATATTAAAATAGAAAGAATTTTTAAGGCACTCTAGCACCATCTGGACATATCAAATTGATATGTCTCAACATAAAACATTTGAACAGTGTGTTCCCAACTATGTAAGAGACATAAACAATACAAAAGCAATGAACCCATGGGGTTTCATTGTGGAAAATTCATCAGGTTACTTGTGTTAGATGAGGCACTTAGTTTTACTAACAACATAACACACTGATAAAAACTGATATATTGAAGAGCAAAAAATATCCAATGGTGAAATGGGTGCAGAGGGAAGACAGCATTCATCAATGTATTTATTATAATCATCAAGCTATACTAAAAAAAAAAAACAAGTATAGAGTTGAAACACAGACCGGAATACTGACAATAGAAAGAGCACAAAAGAGAGAAGGAAGAAACCTCTTTGAGGGAATGGTTCTTGAGGACTGACAAAGCAGCAGAGATGGAGGAGTTGATCGGCATGGCTCATGATAGATGAGGTCTTTTTCCAATACGGCTCATGATAGACTAGGTCTTTTTCCAATAGCATGGAATGCACATCCTCGCCACCACTATCAAGTGCATAGCTAGTGATCCATGATATCTCCGACCCAACAAAGGTGAACAGTGAAGCAAGTATTGAAGATGAGAAAAGTTCAATTGATAGAATGTTACCCAAACAATTATATCATGCACTTTTTGCCAGAATATACTCAGTGCAGGACATTCCCACCAGATATGGATCATCGAGCCCAATGCTTGCTGACATCTCCAACAGAGATCTGAAATAGTAGGGTAAATCTTGTGCAAGAGGTGAGGAGTTCTGTACCAATGCGTAAGGATTTTAAAATGATGTTGCT